TCAGTTTGCCCCTGTTTGGGTCATACACCGGCATTGAGACCTCCGTTATTCCTCTTTCAATCATGAAGTCTCGTAGTCTTGTTAGAGCCAACATCACGTGTTCGGGATCAATTGTGTTCCTGTCATTGACCCTCGTCACTAGGAAGCACAGATATTTGCCCGGGACTTGTGCTACTGATGGTGGAAGCGCTGCCATCCCTCCCAGTCCTGGTCTCTGTCTGAACAGAAACTCCACGTTCTGGTACTCTCTTTTGAAGTCAGCTTCCAATCTTGATTTGAAACTCATGTCCGCCGTGATGCAGATCGCGTTAGTCCTGTTTGACAGGATGAAGTCGCTATCCGTTATCATGATGTTTTCCGAGTACTCATTGGGTATTTCAAATTTCGTTTTGAAATTCCGACCTATGGTAGGCTTTGGCTCTTCTTCTTCCAGTTCCAATTTGCTTGTTTCTCTCACTTCCTTGAGCTTCTTTATCATCAAATTTTCGGTGTGGGCAAGTCCTATCCCCACTCCCCGGACAAAAATATTTATCGACGTCCCCGTCGATGTTGTCGGGTCTGAATTGTCCGGAGGAATGTCCAGTGGCCTATCTGTTGCCGTCCATCCGAAAAGAGGGTCCTCTGCCTTCATATAATTTGCCGATGATACGTCGACTTGTTCAATGCTTTGTCCTTCGCGGCTCTCGTCTTTGACATCGCGCATCCACTCTAGTATCCTCAAGTTCGTGTTCTCCCTCCTCTCTATCTCACTCTGTTCGAGATCCGTCTCCAATTCTGCTTGTTTCTCTCACTGCGGATAGTGTCCACCATCGTCAATGACCTGCCATTCCTCTTCGGCTTCCAGTTCGCCTGCACTCAGTAGTTCCTCGCCCAATTTGTCTGGCTGTATCTTATCGATCAAGAAGTCATCCCCGTACCTGTTGTACCTCATGCCGGTCCGTTTACGATTGCCAGTCCTGGTTCCCGGTGGTATTGGTCGATCTGGCTCCATCCACTTCGGCACCTCATCTTGCTCCGGGTCGTTCCAGTCTTCTTCTACAAATGATCCTGCTTCAGACTCCACTTCTATCTTTTCATTGTCGTCCAAACTCAAGTTCTCATTACCATCATTCTTCTCTCTGGTGCCTCTTTCATTCACTTCACACGCTGGCTCTACCACCAGGTACTCAAGACCCTCCATGTCCTTCGGTATGCACCAATCCTCCGGGGACGGAACGTGAGGCTTCAGATTTTCATAATGTGCCGCTCGCCCAGTACTCAAGCGATAGAACCGTCCTTGTTGATGGACTTCCGTTATCATGAATGGTCCCCTCCATTTCTTGAGTAGTTTCTTTGTTCCCTTGGGCGGTATGACATTTTGGAAGACCCACACATATTGGCCCACTTCATATGGCTTTGCTTGTAATTTTTTTTCGTGATATTTTCTGCGTTGCCTCATTTGCGCCTGCGCGGTGTTCCTCCTGCATAGCTCGTTTAACTCCTGTTGTCTTTTGATCGCTTCTTTCACGTACGCCTCAGGCGACGTCCTTTTCCCTTCGTATTCCGGGTAAAAGAATGTCAGAGGCATTGCTCTCTCCCTACCCGTCAACATCATGAAGGGACTGATGCCCGTCGTTGAGTGCTGTGTACTGTTGTAGGCCCCTACTACCTGTGGCAGGTATTTATCCCAATCCGTCATGTATCTTGAGCAGTACACCCTTAACATGTTGACCAGTGTCCTGTTCTGTCTCTCTACCAACCCGTTGGTCTGTGGATGGTAGGTTGTCGAGTGTGCTTGAGCAATGTGCGATCTCCTCATCAATTCTTTTGTCAAGTCCCCCACAAAAGCTTTGCCGTTGTCCGACTGGAAAGTCATTGGACAACCATACCGCGATATCCAATGCGTTATCAGATGATCACATGTCTCCTCGGCCGAGGCTGTCTGGCACGGAACCGCTTCCGCCAACTTTGTTAAGTGATCTATTATAACCAATATCTGGTTATATCCCGACTCCGTCATGCAGATTTTTTGATGGTCTATCTGCACCACTTCATTGAATTCTGAGCTCTCGACGGACTTGAGGGGAAACTTCATCTTCCTTGGGTCCTTTACCTGGAGGCATGCCAGGCAGGCATTCACCCATCTCTCGCAAGCTTTTCTCATCCCTGGCCAATCAAACCTGTGAAGTATCCTTTGTTGTACTTTGTCTATCCCCTGGTGCCCCATCTGGTCGTGCGATCTGAAAAGCACCTCCGTTTGATACAACTGTGGCAGTATGATGAGGTTGTGTTTGTGTATTATCTTCTCCTCATCTTTCCTCTTGCAGCTACCACCCCATCAGCTGTGTGATAGAGTAAGTCTTTCTTTTCTTTGTAGAACTGGCTCAAGATCTTATAGCTGTCTTCCTCGAGTTCCCCCTTCTCCCTGACCCCCGACTGGATCCATTTGGAGAGGTTATTTGTCATTTTATCATTCTTTTGGGCTCTTATTAGGTCTGACAGCCTGTATCTCGCCTTGACATGCTCCTTTAGCGCCATGATCTGTCCATTCATCTCACCAGGGTTGTGGATGTCATCACTCAGCTTCACGCATATCATCCTTTTCACGATTTTCATATCATCTTCTGGCACCAGATTCGTTCTGACGTTTGAGTTGCATGATAGTTCCCTGAATGGCTTCCTTGAAACCGCAATTTTCTCAAGTTCCTCACCACCTCGTAGCTCCTGTATGTCTAGATTGTACGTTCCTGAAGATGGATCCGTCTGTAACTCCCTGTCGTGGTGCCTTGTCTTCTCTTCCGCCAATATCATGCACAGACTGTCTTGGTTTTCGCTGCTCTCATCCGAGTCTTCATCCCATTCTTCACGCTCCCCGGACAATTTACCTTCTCCGGTTTCTTCTTCCGTGAACATGGAACACTCCCCGGACTCTTGACCTAGTCCCAGGTGTTCAGTATCTTCTTTGAACGTCACTTTCTTTTTCCTAACCTTGGTCTGCTCCAGAATGTTTTCGGGGATGTTATCAACTAGTGACCGCACGACATCTTTGCTGTCAGTGACGCTTCCTCTTGAGGAGTCAGTATCGTTCACTGTCTCTTTTCTTCGAAGTATAGTGACTTCCGGTTCCTCTTGACCCTTCTCTTGGATCACGGGCTTATGATCTGATAGTTTCTCGAGCAACCTCATTAAATCATCATCTATCTGTGCAGTTCCTGCTTCTACCTGGTTAAGATCATAGCCTTTTGCCTTGAGCGTCTCCTTCACGATCTTCGACTTGAGTATTATCTCTATTGGAATCCTTTTGCTCTTCTTCAAGATGGTCTTCTCTGGAGGTTCTTTAGGTAATTCAGGATGATCTTCTATCGGTTTGCCTGATTTGTCCAGCCATCTCGTGAGTGGAAGACTGTCGTACGTTTCCTTGTCCATGAAGGAGAAGCCATCTTTGATTTCAGGTCTGTCTGCCTCTATTTGCTCTTGTCTATCATAGAACTCCGTCTTCTTACTCAAGCTGTCGGCATTCTGATGTTTATCTCGTGTTCTATGCTCAATTATCATGTTGTATCCATCCAGGCGAACTATCCACCTCCCAATGTAACTTTGGTCCATTGAGTACGTTTCCAGCCAGCTCAGTGCTCGATTGTCGACTCGCAACTTGAATGGCTCACTGCCCAGGTATGCCCTGTATTTCTCGACAAAGGTAACCACCGCGAACATCTCTGCTTTCGGTGCTCCGTACTTCATTTCCGTGTCACTCAGGACTTTGCTCCCGTACGCTATTGGTCTCAAGACTGTCTTCCCATTCCATTCTTGTTCTTGGTGGAGAATCCCAGAAATCGCGACTACCGACGCATCCGTGTCCAGCACGTACATCCCTTTCTCAGTCGGCATACCCAGTACTGGTGCCTCACATAGCTCTTTCTTTATTCTCTGGAATGACTCTTCTGCTGCGTTGTTTCACGTGAACTTCTTGCCCTTGTGTCTCATTAACTGTTGCATCGGGTATACCTTGTCTGCATAGCCTTTGATGAACTCTCTATAATAGTTAGCGAAACCCAGGAAGCTCATCAACTGGTGCTCTGTCTTCGATGATTTCCAGGTCAGGACTGCTTCCACGGCGTCCGTATCAGGTCTGATGCCGTGCTTGTCTACCATCCTGCCCAAGTCTTTTATTGAGTCCTTGAGTATCTCGCACTTTGATGGTTTACACTTTAGCCCCGACCTCTTCATGCATGCAAACACTTCGTCAAGTCTCTCAATGTGGTCTTCCAGTGTTGGCGTCGCTATTACCACGTCATCCACGTAGCACATTACCAAGTTGCCATACTTCTTCGTCACGCCTATCAGCGCGTGTGCCATCAACCGCTGAAACGTGGCTGTGGCATTGCAAAGTCCAAACGGCATCCGTTTCCATTGAAACAGACCCAACTCGCAGGCAAACCCTGTCTTGTCCCTATCCTGCTTCCTTAGTGGTACCTGCCAAAAGGCCGAGCCTAAATCAAGAGTCGTAAAAAATTTTGCATCACCTAACTTCGAGAGGCTCTCATCAATCCTAGGTATGGGATAGGCATCTTTCACCGTGACGGAGTTCAGGTATCGAAAGTCACAACAAAACCTCAACTGGTCGCCTTTCTTTTTGGCCATCACTACTCCACACGCCCACGGTGACTTGGATGGTTCTATCATGTCATACTCTAGTAACGTCTCGATTTCTTTTCTACACGCGTCCGATTTGTGTGGGGTCATGCGCCTCGCCCCCTCCCTATGTGGTACCGCGTTTTCCTCAAGTTCTATTTCATGCTCAACGAAATTACAACACCCAATATCCGCCTTATGCCTCGAAAAAACTTCCTCGTTCCGCTCTAGTACGTCCTTGATGGCTTCGAGCTGTTCATCTTTCAGTTTGCCCCTCAAATGTTCAATCTCCGGCAGAACCGGTTTATCAGTTTGCATTTCATCTAGTGTGGGTCGCTCTGGAAAGTTCGAACAGCTCGACAGCCCATCATCCGTTTCTGACTTAAGTGATTTAATAAGACCTGATGAATCTTTTATTTTCTGCAATCGTCTCAAGATACAAATTTTGTCCCTATGATTGGGACAATCAACAACTTCATTTTGTTTTGAGTTATCGATCGTTTCATATCGAGTTTTAACCGGTAAAGCATAACCCAGTTTCCTCCCTCTCTGTATCGTGATCGGTATATCAAGGGTATTCAACAAGACACTGACGCAGAGGCCGCTCTTCGTTATCGAGAAGGATCTTCCTAAAACAGCAGCACTTTGACTATTAGGATTCGGAACTACACACACTTGCTTGTTGTCACTTAGTTCATTGTAATTTTTCATCCTCAAGCCTACGATTGCCGCTTCATTCGCTTTCAGCCTCACCCTCCTACTCAAGAATACCGGTGCTTTGTTTTCATTTGCCATTATTAAATTTACCGGTTTGATTGCGTACCTCCTATCCGGGTTCCGTATCCTGAACATTGCGTTATTTAGATCAATCGTTACGTCGAAATTCCTGATGAAGTCTCTGCCCAAAATAAATTGATCAGATTCATCTAGGTTTTCTACCACGATAAAGCTCATCCACAGGTTACGTTCACCCAAGTTGAGGGCTATTATCGGCGTCCTGCCCAGCACCCGAAGGGCCCCTTTGTTTGCAGCTGACAGCCGTGTTCTCGAGTCTATCAAATCACCTTTGTCAAAGCCCATCCGCTCCCAAGTTTCGATTGGTATGACGCTCAAGACTGCTCCCGTATCAAGTAACCCACGTAGCTGAGTCTTTTTGCCACTTATGTCTAGCACGTGCCCTGTCACATCTGCCTCTGTCCCGATGTGCATCGCATCTTCTTCAAGCATAGCGCAGTGTCCAATCGATCTCACTTTCAACTCTTCTTTCCCTACGTAGATTTGCCCAATTAGGTCTTCGTCACATGTTATCATTGTCTTGGTATAGATGTTTATTCCATCTATATTTAGCACCACCTCGTGTGGACCATAAGCTTCAGTATACCTGTTGTCAACACGTACCGACTTGCTGCCCCCTCTCGTGAGTAGTGCTCTCAGCGCTCTAGAAGTCGTTTGTGGGCTTATACAACTCAAGTAATCTGCGTACACGTCAAAGTGCATTATTGTCTGGTCGCTCGGTTCGCTCAAGTTTCTGGTTACCTCGTGGCCGCCCACTGTGATTATCGACATTATTCTAGCCCCAATTTTCGATATGCCGAATGGCTTTCCCGTCACCATTTTTACAGTGTTACAATTCCCGGTCTTTGTTGAGCCTGGTACAGCCTCTGGTGTTGGGTTTGATCCGGTTAATGCTTCGTTGAAATTCTGTCTTTCGATCTCCAGCTTTAGTCGTTGCTCTATTTCTTTCGCAGCCAGATCCTGTTTCACTTTGGCAATTGCTTCCGTCGCCGCTTTCTCATAGTTTATCTCTAGAGAGTTCGCGGCCGCGGATTCTATCGCACCATTAACATGTGTTACAGCTTTCACTGTTTTCGTCGGCAATTCCGTGCTTGGTGCTCCTAAGTTCCTCGATTCAAACTCGTTTTGTCTATTCCGCTGATTCTGCACTGCCGCTAATGCCAACTTATGTTTGGGGTGACTCTGGTCCTTGACCGCTTCCCAGAACAAGGGACAATCCATTCTAAAGTGCCCCTCCTGGTTACAGAAGAAGCATCTTGCGCCTATCTTGATGATTAAGCCACTATAGTACTCGTGTTCCTCCATCTGGCTCATGTCCTCCTCATCCGGTGCGTATCCTAGACTCTTCATGCCTTGTTTGTATGTTGTGCAGTCAGCCACGTGTTGATCCGCCGACCCGCAGTTCGCGCATGATCTGCGCTTGTCCATGTCATCTCTATGCTTGTACCATGACGACCTCTGGGGTTGACTTCCCCCTTGCGTGTTCCTGTTTTCTGAATATGAGTATTTCTTGGGTTTCATCAGCATGTATTCCCTTGATTTCTGTCTCATTTCTTCTGGGGTCGGTGCGCTGTCTTTCGACAATGTGTAGTATGTTGCTAACATTGTTCTTAAGTCATCACTTTTTACCCCATCAATGAACTTCGAGGCAATGCTAAAGTTTCTTCTGTTTGTCGACTCCTCCGGGTCACTCCTTCTTCTCAAGCTCTCGAGGTCATCTAGGAACCGATCAATTGACTCGTCGTCCCTCTGCCTTCTCTTTTCAAATCGCATCATCGCTTGGTGACCCTTCATGCCTGATCCGAATCGATTCAGCGATATTTCGAAGATTTTGTCCGCGGTATCGCGTTCTTCTTCTTTCTTTGCAACCACGCATTTCAATGCCGTGCCTTCCAGGTTGCTGAGTATGGCTGTGCGTGCTTGCCTTTCATCATTTAAGTTATCTTGCTCTAGATGTAATCTCATCACTTCCACCCACGTGTCAATGCATCCATCGGAGTCGTCTTTGAATTCTTTTGGCTTCTTGAAAGTTTTTCTTGATTTTCCGTCTCTCCTATCGCTCGAGTTAGTGTTCCTCGTGGCGAAGGCCTCTAGAGTCCTGTTCATTATCTCCCAAGTGCTTGCCCACGTCATGGCATCCGGACCTGCGTTGCTGCTAGCTGTTGAGTCCCCCGGACCACTCGTTGTGTTTGATGTCCCATTTTTCATGATTGTTTTAGCAACCGTTGGTGCTATGCTTACCGCATCCCGGTTTAAAGGCAACGGTGTCGATTGCCGTTTGTTCCTTTGTGGTTCCACAAAGTCCACTCTGGTGCCTTGCGTGCGATCCGCTGCCGGTCTTTCTTGTGAGGTAGAATTTCTCAAGGTTGCATCCAATTTCGCCTGTATTGCACACGAACTTTCGGCCTGATTCCTGTTCATTGTGTCCATTCTCTTTTCCAGGCTACCTAATTGGCTGTTGACATCATCATATCGGTTTTTCAACTGTTGCATATCTCTTTTGATGTTCTTATCTCGTTCTTCATTGGTGGCATCTACCTTGTCCGACATCTGCTGGAGTCTCTCGTCTGTCGCCTTAGCCAGGTTAAAATAACTATCCAGATACTCGTGTTTGTTGTATTCCAACTCTTTCCTTATTAAGTCTCTATCTTCCTCACTGTACTTTAGTTGTTTGTCGATCTGATTTAGTTTTGTCATCAGGTCGCCAAGCTCAAGAGTAGCTGTTTCATGATCAACCGTTGTCTTGTTTTCGGCTGTCGCTTCCGTTTTGGCGTGTTCTTCCTTTAGGTCAGCTTCTGTCGTCCTCGCGCTCACTGTCCCAAATGGTCGTGCTCTTTCAGTTTTTGATTCTTCGGCCGTGTTGTCCTTCGATTTCATTTCGACCATCATCGCCAACTTTTCTGTAAAAGATGTTTTCTTTACTTGAGAGTCGTCTTTCACCGCTTCTCGGGTATTGCCTGTTGTGTCTTCCAACGCGTCTATCGGCGAAAACTCCACGGTTTTTGGATTTTGATCTTCCATATGGGGCATCGGTGTGGATTCCGTAGTCTTCTTCTCCACTTCATCTACGCTCTGGTCTGGTGTCTCTAGATCGATTTCAATTGTGGGCTCCACCTGTTTGTCTTTAGCACGCGTCTTGTTCTCGGTACTACTCCTCGTGCTGACCATGCTAACTGAAAAGTTATCTTTTGTTTTGCTTGGGCCCATTGATGTCGTTCCGCGCAGCGACGAGTTATATTTCGTGTTTGATCCACTTGACCTTTTTTCGAGCACCGGTACCCTACTCCGTCTCATTATTTCTATTTACAATTGCTCTTATTTACAATATTATTATATACACAATTCTATTCTACGAATAAAATCTTTTGTGGAAAAGAATTCTTAAAAGGAAATATACAACGTGATAAAAACCTTTCGTGATAAAAACGTGATAAAAACCTTTCGTGAAACTTTCTTTATTTGTGGTCTCAACCGTACCGGGTTCCGACTAGTGTTGTTTTGTTTTAAATCTGTCTCAAAACACTTATTGTAATTTTACTTCAATTTTTATACCGTCCTAAGACTTCCAGTTACCGTCCCTACTCTTCTTTGTACCGTCTCAGGTTTTTTTCTACTGTCCCAAGACTGTTCGGTACTGTCCCAGTACTTTCCGTCAGTGTCCCAAGACCCTTGTCCTGAGAGTACTATCCCAGGACCACTGTCCCAAGACTGTCCCAAGAGTACTGCCCCAAGGTCAGTGTCCCAAGGCTACTGTCCCAAGACCACTGTCCCAAGACTACTGTCCCAAGACTACTGTCCCAAGACTACTGTCCCAATGCTAGTGTCCCAAGACTACTGTCCCAAGACTACTGTCCCAAGGCTAGTGTCCCAAGACTAATGTCCCAAGACTACTGTCCCAAAGCTAGTGTCCCAAGACTACTGTCCCAAGGCTAGTGTCCCAAGGCTAGTGTTCCACGACCACTGTCCCAAGACCACTGTCCCAAGACCACTATACCAAGACCACTGTCCCAAGACCTCTGTCCCAAGACCACTGTCCCAAGACCACTGTCCCAAGACCACTGTCCCAAGACCACTGTCCCAAGACCACTGTCCCAAGACCACTGTCCCAAGACCACTGTCCCAAGACCACTGTCCTAAGACCACTGTCCTAAGACCACTGTCCCAAGACCACTGTCCCAAGACCACTGTCCCAAGACCACTGTCCCAAGACCACTGTCCCAAGGCTAGTGTCCCAAGACCACTGTCCCAAGACTGCTCTGGTCCAGGACTGCACTGTCCCAAGACTGTTGACAAGTGTCTGAGCGGTGGGACCTCTTTCTTCTTCGTTATGGGGACTTCTTGATTCACTGTACCTTGTACCACCACTCAAGCTCTAGTAAAAATTTTCCCAAAAACCCTCTCTTAGTGGCCAAATGCTGACCCCCCTTTTTTAGTTACCTCTTTTTCAATGTTCCAAGCAATTGGAAACCAAAAACTGTGCGCAGGTATCTTGTGATCACCTGTTCGTATAAAAGCCAAACACAAATCCTTACCAAAATGCAACAAAAATCTAGCAAGAAAAAGTAATAAAAACAGAAAGATGAACCCACCTAAAATTC